CTTAATGTCATCTGTTTGGTGGTCCAATCACTCATGCTATGACGTCTTTTTCTTGCTTGCTTTTGTTTATCTCTAATTGTGTATGGAATGACACCATTTTATTCAGATTATCATGCCATGAAGGATGAGAAGACTGCCTTCGGTTTGGTTAATCTGCCATGTTACAGTTTTGCTGCACAGTTTATTTGATCAGACACCACTTCTGCAGAGTTTATTTGATCATACCTCTGGCTGAAGGTGCTGTCTTCATGTGTTATCCAGGGTAAAAAAGAGTAACAGAGTAGCTAGCCTATATATGTACATCCACAGACATTCATACTTTTGGAGCCTTGGAAACAGATTAGCTTCTGATCAGTAACGATTCTATTCTCTTGCATTATAGCCTATCATTCCTTCATTTCATGGTTACAAAAGAGTAGCTTTTCGTTGACACAGAGAATTTGAATCTTACTGAGATATTGTAGTTTTTGTTGCGTTATGAAGATCCTAGTAAAACTGAGTACTCTATGTAGCTTCTGAGTTAGATAACATTGAAGTTAAGTGATTTGATATGTGTTTGTGTTGCTTAATATCTTCCATTAGATTCCTTGGAGATTGGATGTACTTCATTTTAACCATATAAATCCCATTGAAATGATAAGTTGTAATACCAGCATCCATTGTTGAATTTCCCCCCAGTTTGATTATGATTCATCTAAAAAGGCTTGAACATCACCTTTCAGAGGATCACATGCTTGCTTTTGAGATTCACGCTCTTTGTTTCCTCATCCATTATGTGTTAGTGAGTTTTTAGTAGTGTCAAATTGTGAGGGTATGCCGCATCAGTTCATTAGAAGAGTAGCTGAAACCAAAATGAAACTTCGTTACGTGTTTGGGTTTCTCTTACCAGGATAAGCTAATACTTACAATCCCTTCCTGTTAAATATGCGGATCAGTAAGTCGGTCTATTAGAGCAAATGTTTATACCGGGTTTGGCAAATTTTATAGCAGCTAGGTTGTAATCTATCTTCCGCCAACTGTTACAGTAATGGCCATGATCTCCGTTTGAGTTTATTTATTCAGGTTGATTGTGGAATTAACTATGTCATAGTTGTTGAACAGTTCCATATGTGTATATAATGTAAGTGACTTCACAAGGATGGCCGTGCATTTTTGTTTTAATTATTGAATGCCAATGTCATTCTTTTCATTTTATTTGGCTCTTAGGATCATCATCCCAGGTCAGGTTGGCTTCATAGGGTTAATGCAGCAGCGGCAGCAGTTTCAACTTCGTCCACTCTAGGTTCTACAATAAGATATGTTCCTGCATTAAATTAGCTTCTTGATCACTCCGTGCTTGCGCGCTTATATGCTTTAATTGATACATTTGGTTGTCTTTTCTCTAATATCTTCTGATCTCATATGCATAAAGGAAAAGGCCCCTGCATCTTCTTTCCCTTCACCAACAAAACCAGCTCGGCCTCGAACTTCAGCTCTTGTGAACCCAGTTTCTGTAACATGGTACGTTCCCACTTATGTTTAAGTCTTTCTAAGTTATACAAGATGAAACCTCTTTGATCTCCTGATATAAACTTCGATCCACTTTCAGAATTGCAAAGGCTATCACACTCCTTTTGGTCACTGTCACTGTCACAAGCACAAGTCTCTTGGTCCTTTATTACCAATTTACTGTCACCAGCACAAGTCTCTTGGTCCTTTATTACCAATTTCTTTCATTCCGGTTCCTTCTTTTTATACCAAACATTTCACCGTAGCTCTTTCTGTCAACAATTGTTCCTTCTGCTTTATTTCTCAAATGTAAAGATGGCTGAATGGTAAATGTTACTGTTGCTTCGTTAGGCCTTGACTATTTACTGACTTCTCTGTTTTCAGTGCTTGATATCCTTACTGCTTTGTTAACATCTCTTCTCACAGTTGTCATGGACATATCAGAATTCAGAACTATGCCAAGGAAGAACAGACAGATCGGCTCATCCTCTTACCTCCTTCCCCATGCAGATTTGTGAAATCCATTCTTCATGAATTGATGGATTAATATTGAATTTGATATAAAGTGCAAATGTTTAATCTATTTGGGTGGTAGCAGATTGTTGACCATTCTTTATATACAACATTAAGAGGTGCTTCTTCTTAGCATTCTGAATGTTGTTGTTTGGAAGGAGGTGAAGATAATCTCGGAGACTCTTCAAAAGGTTGTCGTAGCCGTTACTGAAAACCCTGCTATAGAGGGAAAAGCTATGGATCGATATCTTAGGAACCATTCAGGTATGGTCTGCTTTCATGATTCTTTATCATTTATTGATTATGTTGTGTATAATTTTGGTCTCTCATGTTGCTATTTGAGTCCTCTCTTTTGTTGTCAATCTCATTTCACAACTTCAAGGGCAAGTATTTGTGCGATTATGTTTGGTAGGCCACTTGTTGTCTTTCATAGGCCTATTTAGTTTCATTTTGGGATATAAACCAAGGCCGACTTGAATGAAGGATGTTGAATTCGTTCTTTTTCTCACTGCTGGGCAGGTTGGCAAGCCATTGTCCAACGACGCAAAAGCACAAAAACTGGGTTTTCAGACTTGGATTGAAGCTGTAATTGAACTTGCCCCTCACCCTTTTCATCGTTGCCACTATCTATTTGAGATCTTACTGGTATCCTACTGCCACATAGGAGAGTTGAGCTTTTAGGGTTTGATAGGAAGGTGGATTAGAACACACCAGAATTCTCAAGTCTCTTAAAAGTTAAACCCAGTGGGAAAGGTTAAGTCAGAACCTGGATTGCTTAAAATTCTAGGTTTGTTCTGTTTTCATTTCAACAGGTCATGTATGAATACTCTACCGAGTCAGAATTGGATACCCTGAGTTTCATTTGAATGCCATCCAGTAAGCTCGTTGTTTCATTGGTTTAACCGATGTCCTTTATTTTTATACCAGTCAATTTGGTTACCGTGCAAGGTTACTTGCAATTGTTTTTCATTTCAGACTAGCTACTTCTATACGATGTTCTTTCACTGACCTACTGATGGAATTTTGGCCTCACAAGGTTAATTATACATTTTTGGGTCCATATTGAATACTACCGTGAACCTTTTATTTCGTCGGCAAGTTATGCTTTTTACTGGCTAAGTATTGTTATATCACCGGGGGGTCTTTTCTGGGCGAAATCAGTTTCTGCAGAGTGAGATTTAGTTTGCATTTGTTGCAGAACTATGGGCTTCAATTTCATATCAGACCTACTACGGGTAGCGTGAGATTACCAAACAGAATGTCTACCAGTTCCGTGTCGAATTCCATGAATACAACTCATTTCTTCTCCCCGTTGACGATCACCTTCACCTTATTTGAATAACATATTGGCCCCAAATGCTAATAGAAACAACGGCTGCATTAATCCATTGCAAATAGAAACTTGAAGATCGAGTTTTGTGAGGAAGGGAGAGGGAAAGGATACAGACTAGGCAAAAGAAACTGCCCCAGAGATCAGGGGAGAAGTAAAGACGTCTGGATGGATGGATGGTGTCGGTGGTGAATCAGGGAGAAGGGGTGTAGGCAACGGGGAGAAGGGGATTAGGGATTTTAAGGGATATTTGTTTTATTGAATTTAGTTAATTAATGAAGGACAATTTAGTAGTTTTGCGTTTTAAGTTAGGGCGGGCGATAATAGTAAAATAAGGGCGACGTTTAGCCATCCAGTTTTGACATGTGCCCTACTAAAATTTCCCCTTCATCCTAACTTGCATACGCACGTCGCCTCTTCTGCAATTTTGTTGTCTTAGAGGTGGCAAATGCATTGTATTCCTAGATTGGTGGATTGATCTATAAATCTAACGTCATTTGGTTTTGGTGATTGTTTGGTTGAGATAGTTACAAACTTACAATACATGCATTGTCCACAATGCATTTTTTTTTTTTTTTTTATTTTCTGCACAAACAATACATGCATTGTTTGCTTGATGTGACACAAACTATCACTCAAAATGAGTGATAGTTAAATCTAAAGTTTTTGGTGAGATTGTTGAGATTGTTTGATTGAGATTGTTGTGTATTTTTCTTCTAACTATGTCCCTACCTTTTTATGTGTGTTGCTTTTTTATATTAAAAACAAAGGGTAAAAGTGACATTTCACCCAAAAATTAATATAACTTATTCAAATAACACAGCAACTATCACAGAAACCAAACGTTGTGACCGGCATGATCGATATACGAATCTCTAAATAAAATGACCTTATTTTAGTGAATTTAATTGATAAAAATAATTTTATTATTTATTTTATGAGTATAAAAGTTAAATATTGATGTTATTTGTTGGATTCAAGTATAAATGTTTAAGTATTGACATTAAATGTCATGCTTAAATATGAGTATTTATAATTTTATTTGTAATATTGATCGGCATGAACTGGCACAAACCGATATGTGCCACCGGTCAAACCATTCCACTTGCTAAACCGACACACTGGCATAAACCGGTTTGACAACCTTGGAACAAAATGATTAGTAATTATGGGTCTAGGTAAACATTCCATTGAATCTAAACAAGGATTGGGGATTAGTACAAATAACTCTTCTTAATTGAAATACAGGCGGATTACATTAAAAAAAAAGCGCCATTGACTAATTCGAATTCTATCCCGAATGTTATATTTTAGAAGCCCAAGGCGGGAAGGCCCATTTGTATTGCCGACTTACCAAGCCCGCCGTTTCCGTAGGAGAGAAGGAGAAACAGTCGGGGTCGGTTTCGTGAACCCTCAAAAAGGGAAGAAGGGGGAATTTCAGATCTCTTCGCGCTCCGGCCTGCCTTCTCTCCGCCTACCACCGAATCCTTTCTCCTCGGTCGTCGTCGGCGGCGTGCCTTAATAGTCTTCCAATCCGTCTGTATACACCATGGCCGCCGAGAGGTGCCGCAATTTTGATTCTGATCGGCCGCTGGGGAGGAAGCGACGACGAATTATCAGTTCAGATGCAAGGATCAACAACCTCGGGGACGATCTTCTCGTAGAGATTCTGTTTCGCCTCCATCCTAGAATCGCCTGCCGCTGCAAGCTCGTCTGCCAGCTGTGGAGGTCCGTCATCTCCGCCGCCTCCTTCAATCGCCTTTTGGTTTCTCGCCTCCAGACCATGAGTCCGAACGACCTCAAATTGATGGTCCTCAGCTTCATCCCACCCATGCCCAATGGAGTTGAAGACCGAGACGCTCTCAAAGTCTTGGATTGCGACAGGGACTTGGTTCTATGCGGGTTTTGGGATACAGAGAACATGGACAAGAAGCACGGCAGGGCATACTTGGTCTGCAATCCGTTCACCAAGCAGTGGAATGCTCTTCCGTTGGCGCCCAGGAAGTTAGCGGCCTATCACTCCTCGGTTTCAAGGTTAGTTTGTGAACCTTCTGGATATCGGTTCCGGGTGGTGTGTATGTATGTTGTTCGGGCCTTTCCATCGTCAAGTATAAGATTAGACTTGTTCTGTTCGGAGTCTGGAAATTGGACCAAGGATGCTCTTGTCCGTGACAGTCATAGCAGATTGTCTACAAAAAGTCTAGTTTCGTGCAATGGGGAGTTGTTTTGGACGTATTTTGAACCTCGTCCCATGGATGTTCATCAATCCCTGGCTGTGTTCAATCCTTTCCGCCTTGATTTGCCACCCGCTTCCATTGATGTTTCTGCATTCCTTGCAAAGCCTCAGTGGACTAGTACCGTCTGTCAAGATGCCTTGCACTTGGTTGTACAAGAAAATAAATGTGTTCCTGTTCGTTTGAGCGTCTGGAGGCTGGGAAAAGACCGTAAATCGTGGAGAAAACAATGCGAGGGGCTGGTGAAGCTGAAAACAAAGTGTGGTAACTATGAAGTTCGGGGCTTTTATCAACCTTTTCTGCATCCACAGAAGCCAGAAATCGTCTTCTTCAATTGGCTTGACAGCTATAAATTTGGCAATGTTGTATTGTGCTGTGATTTGAGAAGGGGAGAGCTAGAGTTCTTCACTAAACTAGAAGAGAGACCGGAAGCCTGTCACTTTATGGTGTTCAATCCGAGGGCTTCTAGCTGGTTTACTCCAATTCCAGATTTCGACGAGGCGCGAGGCAAGCAAAAGAGTGGTGATCAGCCAACTTCCTCCTTCAATAACGAGCAGTGCAGCATTCGGCATGGTGTTCCAAGTTCCAACCAAGAGTCTCTTGCTGACTGACTCTAATTCCAAGGATTTGTTAAACGATATGAGTTTCAGGAAATGATATATTTGGAATGGTTCACAATTTTTCTTCTCTTTTTGTACAATACACTTGGTGGCTTATGTAGTTGATGAATCCATGGGCCTGAAGGCCAAAAATAGCAGCATCCAACAACAGATGATAAATATGAAGTGGTATCGAAGTCAAAACACCTGAGCGAGGTTGAGATTGGAACTCAGTTTGGAACCAAGTAGCTGCATTTCTATTACCTTTGAGGTGTTTTCAGATATATGACTAGAACTCAATATTGCAGTCGGTCGGCCTCTCTGAGATATCATTAGGCTGATGGTGAAAGGGCCACTATGAGAGGCTTTCATGTCTGTTACTAATGATTCTTCCCAGCACACACTGTAGTGGTTCTTCTATATAGCTATAGTTATAAGACGTATGATTTTAAACCACGTTTGCTATTTGACTGCAGCTGCCTTTTGGCAGTTGTCTCGACTAGATTCATATTCACTCCTATCATTTTGAGATGGTGATCCATCTCCGCGATTAAGATTAATAGAAGCCGATGCCTCCATTTTTGCTCCTCCTGATTTGGTTTAGAAAGATGCTGTTTCTCCACTTTTCCCTTCTTTCTCATTGGTTTTGTGTGCAATTGAATCTACCTTCGCTTATTTCGCATGATTTTGAACAAGGTAAAGGAGGGACTTGTTTCAGACAACATGGAGGTTACTTAATGTCATCTGTTTGGTGGTCCAATTACTCATGCTATGCTGTCTCATTCCTGCTTGCTTTTGTGTATTGCCAATTGTGTATGGAATGACACCATTTTATTCAGATTATAATGCCATGAAGGATGAACCGACTGCCTTAGATTTGGTTAATCTGCCAAGTTACAGCTCTTCTGCACAGTTCATTTGATCAGACACCACTTCTGCAGAGTTTATTTGGTCATACCTCTGGCTGAAGGTGCTGTCTTCATGTGTTATCCAGGGTAAAAAGAGTATCAGAATAACTAGCCTATATCTGTACATCCTACAGGCATTCCTCATACTTACGGAGCCTTGGAAACCTAACAGCTTCTCATCAGTAACGTTTCTATTATCTTACATTATAGTCTAGCATTCCTTCCTTTCATGGTTACAACAGAGTTGCTTTTGGTTGACACAAAGAATCTGAATCTTACGGGATATTGTAGTTTTTGTTGTGTCATGAAGATCCAAGTAAAACAGGGTACTCCATATAGCTTCTGAGTTAGACAACATGAAGTTAGGTGATTTGATATGTGTTTGTGTTTCTTAATATCTTCCATTAGATTCTTAGGAGATTGAATGTGCTTCATTTTAACCATATAAATCCCATGGCAATGATAAGTTGTAATACCAGCATCCATCGTTGAATTTTCCCCCTTTTTTATTATGATTCATCTACAAAGGCTTGCACATTACCCTTTTGAGGATCATATGCTTTATTTGAGTTTCACGCTCTTTATTTTTTCATCTATTCTGTGTTATTTAGTGTTTGAGTAGTGTCAAATTGTGAGGGTATGCCGCATCAATTCATTAGAAGAGTAGTTAAAACCAAAATGAAACTTAGTTGCATATTTGGGTTTCTTTTACTAGGATAAGCTAATTCTTGCAATCCCTTCCTTTTTCATATGCAGATTAGGAATTCAGTCTATTAGAGCAAATGAATTTACTGGGTTTGGGAAAATTTATAGCAGCTAGGTCATAATCTATCTTCCGCCAACTCTTGCAGTAATGGCCATGATCTCCGTTTGAGTTTATTTATTCAGGTTGATTGTGGAATTAACTATGTCCTAGTTGTTGAACAGTTTCATATGTGTATATAACGTAAGTGATTTCACAAGGATGGTCATGCATTTTTGTTTCAAATATTGAATGCTGATGCCATTCTCTTAATTTTTTTTTTTTTTTTTTTTTTTTGTGGCTCTTATGATCATCATCCCAGGTCAGGTTGGCTTCATAGGGTTCAATGCAGCAGCGGCAGCAGGTTCACCTTCGACTACTCCAGGTTGTACAATAAGATTTGTTCCTGCATTAAATTTAGCTTCTTGATTACTCCGTGCTTGCCCAGTTATGCTTTAATTTATACACATTTGGCTGTCTTTTATGTTTTTATCTAATATCCTTTGATCTCATATGCATAAAGGAGAAGGCCACTGTATATCTTTCCCTTCACCAACAAAACGAGCTTGACCTCGAACTTCAGCTCTTGCTAACCCACTTTCTATAACATGGTATGCTCCCACTTATGTTTACCTCTTTCCAAGTTAGTTATACAACATGAAACCTCTTTGATCGCCTGATATCTTCCCCAAAGCATCGATCCACTTTCAGAATTGCAAAGGCTATTCACATTCCTTTGGGTTACTGTTGCCAACACAGGTCTCTTGGTCCTTTGTTTCCAATTTCTTCCATACGGTTCCTTCTTTTGAAACCAAACATTCCCCCCCCCCCCCCCCACCCACAGCTCTTTCTGTCATCAATTGTTCCTTCTGCTTTATTTCTCAGATGTATAGATGACTGAATGATAACCACACCCTCACCATCAACAATTGCACCGTTACTTCGTTAGGGCTGGGACTATTTAGTATTTACTGACTTCTCTGTTTTCAGTGCTTGATATCCTTACTGCTCTGTTAACATCTCCCTTCTCACAACTATTTGCCATCTGTTTGCAGGTCTGAACCAACAAATTACGCAGTTGTCATGGACATGGATGTCAAGCAATCAGAACTATGACAAGCAAGAACAGACAGATAAGGTCCCCCTCTTACCTCCTTCCTCATGCAGCTTTATGAAATCCATTCTTCAGGAATTGATGGATTAATATTGAATTTGACATAAACTGAAAATATTTAATCTGTTTGGGTGGTGGCAGATTGATGACCATTCTTTATGTACAACATTATTATGTGTGCTTCTTAACTTTCTTAATGATGTTGTTTGGAAGGAGGTGAAGATAATCTCGGAGACTCTTCAACAGGCTGTTGTAGCTGTTACTGAAAACCAAGCTAGGAACCATTCAGGTATGGTCTGCTTTCATTATTCTTTTACATTTATTGATTACTTTGTGAATAATTTTGGTCTCTCATGTTGCTATTTGAATCCTCTCTCTTGTTGTCAATCTCATTTCACAAGTTCAAGGGCAAGTATTTGTGCGCGATTATGTTTGGTAGGCCACGTGTTGTCTTTCATAGGCTATTTTGTTTCATTTTGGGATAAAAACCAAGGCCAGACTTGAATAAGGATGCTGAATTGGTTCTTTTTCCCTGTTGAGTGAGCGGGTTATATTGAGGGATTTAAAGGTGCATATCAAAGTCGGATACATTGGGATCTCCCTCTTCTCTACTTCCTGTTAGGTCTGGATTTCCATATGCAATTATTTGCTTTTGCCTAGAGTTCATTAAATTGGTTTTCATTTCAGACTAGCTACTTCTATACGATGTTGTTTCACTGACTTGCTGATGGAATTGGCCTCACAAGGATAATTATACATTTTCAGGTCCATATTGAATACTGCTGTGAATCTTTTGTTTCTTTGGTTGTTAGGAACATTGTCTGTAAGTTATGAATTTAATTGCTGCTTGCTACAACTATGTACTTCCTGTAACTATGTCTATGCTTTTTAATTTGTGGGATGTCTACATTTTTCTTGATTAAAAGGGCTTTGGATGATGCATTTCCCTGCATATTCTTTTGCTCTTGTGTTCTTGCTGTACTTCTGCGGAGATAAAAAAATATCAGGAGGGCTAAAGGGAATCTGTACTTCTTGGACCCTCAATGTTGAGGACTTGGTTGATTTCTTATACGAAAAGGGTGGATCTCCTTCCATTTGAGGTCAGATACTGGTTTCTTATTGAGAAATCATCATCTTGTAACTTTCATTTTGATTATATTTCGGTTATCTTTGCAGGTCGTGAAACAAAGTCTGCAGCCCTGAATTCAAGGATTCTGTGAAATGTGGTTCTCTTTAGTGTGTTTGTGTTGATGTTACTTTCAGGTAGTTTCATGACAAAGATCGGTTTGATGCCTATTCAGGTGGATCCTTCTTTCTTTAGGAAGTCGATGATCATTAGAAACAAAAAAAAATTGAGTAGCAAACATGAAACATTTAGATAAATTAAGCGACCAAATATGCAAATCACTATTTTAGTTCATAATTCTTATATAATAAATTGTTGGGGACATTTGATTACATCTAAAAAATACGTACACTAGTAATTTTTTATAAGGTAAGCTTAATTATCATAAATATCTTAATTTAAATTGGGGCAATTGGTCATGATTTTTAGGCCCAACCACGGGAATAAGAGCATAAGGGAAACTGGTATAATTTAAATTGGGCCCATTGATCCTGATTTTTAGGCCCAATGGTTGGGCTCCCATCAGAGCTGCAGTTTTGTCGTTTCATATTTGCCGCCAAAAATTTAGATGTTCTACTTATTTTTTATATTTTGTAAAGAAAAGTCTTTCTTTTATTTTCGAGTGATATCAAGAGAGAACAAGAGTCAGACATACAAATCTACCCAGGACCCCATACAATCAACGCCCTAATGAAGCCACCAACAAAGTCGAAAGACTCTAACTCTAGACGAGACAAAAGTACTGTTTTACGCGCCACTCTATGGGCAACTTTGTTGCCTTAAACTCTATACAAGCTGTCAAAGAGTCTAGGATCTGATGACACTCCCAAAGCACTGGACCTCCTACTAAATTTTTTAGGTTGCCTTGCTGGACTTGGTTAACAACCAATTCAGAATCCCCTTCCACTATCACGTGAGTCAAGGATCTTGAGGCTACAAGGCTGATGGCATCTCGAACGGCTAGGAGCTCTGTCAAATAGTGGTTGACAACTCCCTGATAATGCAGACCGGATGCCAGCTCCACATGGTCGTCTGGCCCACAAACAAGGGAAGATGAACACCCTGAATCACAAACAGCTGCATCGAAATTGATCTTTAAATAGTCGTCTGGTGGAGGGATCCAGGTGCGTGGTGGGAGGGTTGGAAGGAGAGAACTGCGGGGTGGAGGTTGGGGGGGGGGGGGGAGATTGGAGACTTCAACGACCGGGTTGTAGAATTGTCGGGCTAGGGAACGGACATGAGATTGGTAAAATTCAAAAATCACGTTATTTCTAGACTTCCATATTATCCAAAGTAAGCAGACGCATTGGAGAATGTGGAATGGGGAGGTTTCAGAGACCATGACATGTCGCCACCATATACTAAAGTTGATAGTCAGGGCGGAATCAATGAAGTTGCTTAATCCTACTAACGTCCACAACTTGGTGGCGAGGGGGCATCTAAAAAATAAGTGTTCAATGCTCTCTCGATGTCTGCAACACACGGGGCATCAAATAAGGCAGTTAACTCCACGGGATTGTAAGGCCACCACTGTGGGGAGAATGACCTTGAGACATTGCCATACGAAGAACTTAAGCTTAGGCGGGACTTGGATGTTCCAAGTCCTTTTCCAAATGGGAGGGTCGATAATCTGAACTATCGGTTTCCGACTTGAGGCCAAAGCCGATTCCAACGGTAGATGGTAACCTGAATTGACTCTGTATTTTCCATCTTTGGAGTAATGTCACACTCTGATGTCTTATTGCGGCCGATGTGGCAGAGGAATCTTTCTGATTAGATCGACGGATTGAGGTTCAAAGTAAAGGTGGAGCTCGGAATGTTCCACTCTCATAGACCTTCTCTAATGAAGTAAGAAACCATAGCAGTCTCATTTGAAATCTGAAATCGAATACTCGGAACTAAAGGTCTATCACCCGGTAACCAGCTATCAATAAATGTTCGAGTCCCCTGCCCGTTGCTCTGCCATCTTAGTCCCTGCAGAAGTAAATCCCTTCCGAACAGTAAACTTTTCCATCCCCACGAGGGGCTCGAACCAATTGAGGCTTCTAATACAGAACATTGGGGAAAGTAACGACCCTTATAGATCTATGAAAAGAGGGAATTTGGATTAGTCCAAATCCTCCAATATTTTTTTTTTTTTTTTATAACGAGGAACACCCTCCACGGTCACCACATTTTGTGGTGCCGTAGTCGGGCTAAACCCCGGGACCTCCGCCGGCGGTCCGGGTGATAGTGGGATGCCTCCGGGAACACCATGGAGGCGGTGAGGATCGAACCTGGGACCTTATGGTCACCAGTCCTCCTCCCTTACCACCAGGCTATGTGACCTTTGGCAATCGTCCAATATTTTTTAGCTAGCAAAGCTTGGTTGAAGGCGCCGAAATCCCTGAACCCGAGGCCTCCATGAAATTTATTGTAGCTAGACTTTTCCAAAAAACCCAATGGATCGGATGTTGTGTATTATGAGTCGTTCCCCACCAAAATTTTGCTACATGACTGTTTAGTCGCCTACAATTTTCCTTGGGTAGTTTGAAGCATGACATTCCAAGGACTGGAATATTAGTGGCAGAAGATCTAATTAGTGTGTCTTTCCCAGCTTTGGACAAGGAAAGTTGTTTCCATACTTGGAGCTTTTTGATAAGCTTCTCTTTCATGAAAAGGAAAGCATCCCTTTTCGATCTTGATAAGATGGCTGGTAATCCTAGATATGAGTCATGCTCTCCTATGCTTCCAATGCCTAATTGAGCACCCATCATCTGTTCCTGGATAGGGTCTGTATTTTGGCGGAAAAGGACCGTTGATTTATTTAAATTAACACGTTGTCCGCTCAACTCTTCATAGGCTTGAAGGAGAGAAAGAAGAGTTGTGCAATATATTGGAGAAGCAACTAAGAATAGGTACGAGTCATCTGCGATGAATAGATGTGAGACTACCGGGCATTGGGGGCGGATTCGGACTCCTTCAAGGTAGCCTAAGGACATAGCTTTCCTTATCATGCTAGAGAATCCTTCCACACATATAGTGAATAATAGGGAGTTAAGTGGATCGCCTTGTCTTAGACCTCTTGAGGGTCTAAAATATTCTGATGGGGAGCAGTTAAGAATGACTGAGTATGAAACTGTTATTACACAGGATGACAATCAGAAAATCCTAACTGAGAAATAAAAGTACTAACTTTGTCAGTAGGAGACATGGTTTCACATAAAAACATGAAAGACTTGGATATGTTGCGGCGAGCTTTAAGCGTTTGCGAAGTCAAGGTGCTGCCTATTCCTTGACAATTCCACGCGTAGACATTCATTTATCCGGTTGGGGCCACTTTGGGTTGGCTTCCTCCACCTTTTTCTCTTTTGCGACTTTGGGGCGCTTGGGCAATGACTCCACTGCATAATTGTCTGGTTTCCTAATGTCAGTATTTCTCCTTGTATAAACTTTTGAGGACCCTGACGATTAGACCATAATTGCTTTCCCTTTGGACTGGCCATCTATAACTCGACCAATTGGGGAGCATGACTATGCCGAGTCGGTGGATGCTTCATTGTTGCCTGCTTTGTTTAGCTCAAGCTCGAAATCTTGCATGGCAAGTGTGAATCTCCCATATTTTCGAACAAAAAGCTAAGATCCTCACTGCAGTATAGATTACCTAGACCATAGGAAGGTGAGGCGACGTGGAATAGCCTTGGGACTCATAATTGTGTGCATGTTCTCCTGAGCTTGGCCTGTTAGAAGCGGAAGTCTAGTCTTGCCAGCGTAAAGCACAAGCAGTAACGGAAATAAACAAAAAACTGCGAAAGTGTGCATTTCTATTGTGGAACATCATTCAACCTTGCCAGAGTATAGCAATAGCAGTAACGGAAATAAAGAAAAAACTGCGAAAGTACGTGGTAATAGAAACAACTAAGTGACTAAGTCCCGAGCTGCTATCACCAAACACAAAGAAACTTGCAGGATAACTAGCTAAGTAACTAGCGGAAGTCCATATCCCATTCTCTCCAAAATCTTCTTAGTCACTTTCAGGATAACTAGCTAAGTGACTAAGTCCCGAGCTGCTATCACCAAACACAAAGAAACTTGCATATCCCATTCTCTTCAAAATCTTCTTAGTCACCCACATTATCAATTTCATCATCTACATTAATAAAAAGATGGTGTCAGACACAATAGGAAAACAAAAACAAAGAATAGCTTCCATGCTTTCACATTGCAAGTAAGTCCTTACCAGCAACCATAACATTGTCCAAGTTCTCACCAACTATAGCACCCACATTATCAATTTCATCACCTACATTTGAAAAAAAAAAAGAATTTAATAAATAGTAAATAAAAAGCTGGTATTAGACACAATAGGAAAACAAAAACAAAGAATAGTTTTCATGCTTTAACATTGCAAGTAAGTCCTTACCAGCAACCATAACATTGTCCAAGTTCTCACCGACTATAGCACCCACATTATCAATTTCATCACCTACATTTGAAAAAAAAAAAGAATTAATAAATAGTAAATAAAAAGCTGGTATTAGACACAATAGGAAAACAAAAACAAAGAATAGTTTTCATGCTTTAACATTGCAAGTAAGTTCTTACCAGCAACCATAACATTCTGCAAGTTCTCACCGATTATAGCACCCACATTATCAATTTCATCACCTACATTTGAAAAAAAAGAATTTAATAAATAGTAAATAAAAAGCTGGTATTAGGCACAATAGGAAAACAAAAACAAAGAATAGTTTTCATGCTTTAACATTGCAAGTAAGTCCTTACCAGCAACCATAACATTCTGCAAGTTCTCACCGACTATAGCACCCACATTATCAATTTCATAACCTACATTTGAAAAAAAAAAAAATTTAATAAATAGTAAATAAAAAGCTGGTATTAGACACAATAGGAAAACAAAAACAAAGAATAGTTTTCATGCTTTAACATTGCAAGTAAGTCCATACCAGCAACCATAACATTCTGCAAGTTCTCACCGACTATAGCACCCACATTATCAATTTCATCACCCACATTTGAGAAAAAAAGAATTTAATAAATAGTAAATAAAAAGCTGGTATTAGACACAATAGGAAAACAAAAACAAAGAATAGTTTTCATGCTTTAACATTGCAAGTAAGTCCTTACCAGCAACCATAACATTCTGCAAGTTCTCACCGACTATAGCACCCACATTATCAATTTCATCACCTACATTTGAAAAAAAAGAATTTAATAAATAGTAAATAAAAAGCTGGTATTAGACACAATAGGAAAACAAAAACAAAGAATAGTTTTCATGCTTTAACATTGCAAGTAAGTCCTTACCAGCAACCATAACATTCTGCAAGTTCTCACCGACTATAGCACCCACATTATCAATTTCATTACCTACATTTGAAAAAAAAGAATTTAATAAATAATAAATAAAAAGCTGGTATCAGACACAATAGGAAAACAAAAACAAAAAATAGTTTTCATGCTTTGACATTGCAAGTACAAGGTCCTTACCAGCAACCATATCATGACCAACCATTACATTCTCCAAGTTCCCATCAACTATAGCACCCACATAGTGTCCATCATTACCAGCACCTACATTTGGAAAAAAAGAGTTTAATAAATAATAAATAAAAAGCTGGTATCAGACACAATAGGAAAACAAAAACAAAGAATAGCTTCCATCCTTACCAGCACCTACATTTAGGAATAGTAGGCCATAATTTCTTCCCTAATTTAACGGGGCAAATAAATTCTGCACAGTTCCTTTGACCGAGAAAGAAAGAAATAAATAACGTTTGAAAAGATCTTGCAACTCCCAAAACGCGCCATTTTCCGATGCGTGTGAAGCGAGAGACTCGGGAAAGTAAATTAGACTAATTTTTTTTGTGGGAGTAAATTAGACTAATTAATCATCACTAATGGATTTGTTGTGAGCTGGTAGCATATTTTTTCCAAATAATAATGGAATTTGAGTTTCGGTCATCTTTTGTCTACACATCTCTTTCTAATCCTTCTTGCATTTGGTGATTTTTTAGATCCTCAAATAGTTCCATTCTCCTATCCAAATAGTTTCAGTTTTATCCACATCCGTACATACATAACAATTGGATACATAACAATTGGATAGAAAATTAAAATCACGCCACATCCGATGTTTCGGGTATTCATGGATACTAATTATGTCGGATTTGTTTCGGGATCCACGATTATAGATATTTTCGTCATCCCTAATAAAAATAATATTCCAACATTAGCAGACATATTGCGTGTGCTAACCCAAATCTCTAATAACTATGGATTATGTGGAATTTGCAAAATACTAAGAAGGAAAAACAAAGGCATGGAATGAGATATAACCAATGAAGTTGGCATATGTTAGCAAGATGAATATAAACATAAATTTTGGTGCTTTGTGGTGCATGATAGCAATAAGCAAAGGCTTAAACCACAGTAACATGGGATTTAGCTTTATATAATAATAATAATTTGGTCACCAAAATTTCTTGATGGTAGTTCATTTATTTTGAAATATCATGTTTCAGATATACTTAAAGCATCCACATTGGAATTGTATTTTAAATTGCATAATGACATGGCATTCATTTGCAATTGCATTGACGTAGATGTCAATTGCATCTTTGCAAGCTTGCATATAATGCAATTATGGAATGCAAGCCATGTCATTTTTTCTCCTTCAATAATTTATTGTTTGTGTTATTTTAAGAGTTTGTGCTTATATAATTAAATTAAAAAACTAATTACAATTGCGAGTTAATTGCATTGATGTGGTGCCATGAAAGTATTATGAGTTGAATTGCAAGTTAACTGCTTATTTCGTTATGTCAATTGCCCTTTCGTAGTTAGAGATACAAAAAGTTCTTTTAGACTAGCTCTGAGCTTATATAACCATGTTTGGCAATTATTCTAAAACCCTGTTATAATTCACCTTTTCCTTAAATATGGATATCTTTGCATTTATGAAGTAAGAAGGAAAGGAGAGAAGGTTGGGAGAAACTTAGAGATGGCAATGGGCCGGGGTGGGTCGACCCACTCTTACATGCTATTTGAGAAAAATACACGCACAATTTTACTTTTTATGATAAAACGAAGGGGAAAATACTTGATGAATGAATAATAGTGATAATATAATAAGTAATTGAGTCTATTTAGTTGAAAGATCAAATCTAAATAGTTGAATAAAAGATATATGAATGAATGGGGTAAAAAATTAACATAGAACGGGGTAAGAATGGGATGGGGCGGGACGGGGCAGATCGGAAGTTGATACCCATGCCCCGCCCCATCGCGAGTCAGGTTGGGTATTACCCGGCGGGGCGGGTTCAAATTGCCATACCTGAATGCAGGTTAGGACTTGCCTTGCATAATAGTTGAATAAAAGATATATGAATCTATTTAGTCTATTTAGTTGAAAGATCAAATCTAAATAGTTGAATAAAAGATATATGAATGAATGGGGTAAAAAATTAACATAGAACGGGGTAAGAATGGGATGGGGCGGGACGGGGCAGATCGGAAGTTGATACCCATGCCCCGCCCCATCGCGAGTCAGGTTGGGTATTACCCGGCGGGGCGGATTCAAATTGCCATACCTGAATGCAGGTTAGGACTTGCCTTGCATAATAGTTGAATAAAAGATATATGAATCTATTTAGTCTATTTAGTTGAAAGATCAAACCTAAATAGTTGAATAAAAGATATATGAATGAATGGGGTAAAAAATTAACATAGAACGGGGTAAGAATGGGATGGGGCGGGACGGGGCAGATCGGAAGTTGATACCCATGCCCCGCCCCATCACGAGTCAGGTTGGGTATTACCCGGCGGGGCGGGTTCAAAATGCAGGTTAGGACTTGCCTTGCATAATAACATCAAACGTAGCCTGCAACATTCTCTTCCCTAATCTTTTCTTTTTTCCATTTCGTACAGTCCATCACCTTTTCTACTTCTTCTTCCACTCCAATCCCACTACAGAAGCCAACTAAAACCCAGAAACTAACAGAAAAGGTATGAATGAGAAAAAAACTACCACCCCAAACTTGGATCCCGGGGGAAAAATCGACCGTATAGTATTGCCTTCAGGTTTGCTTATTTCTTGACGTTTGATGCTCCGCCACTGAACACCTCGGTGTAACATATGGGGCATGCCTGATGGAGAAAGTATTAGCCTTCGAAGGACTTGTGAACAGTTGAAAAAAGAAGATACTGAAAATGCGATACCTAGAGCGTCCAGTGTGCTTTACCTTATTGATGCTTAGCCATTTAGTACCGCAGCTGGCGTGGTAGATGTGCTTGCACGGTAGCGTGATGCGCTTCTGAGCTCGCTTGTACTCCATTTGGCAAATTACACACCTAAAGAAACAGACCAGATTGTGGTTACTTAGTTACTGGTGTTATTCCCATGGTTATGCTTCGCATGGTGTATTTCTGAAATGTGAGTTGCGTACCTTTCGGTTCTTGATTTCCTTCTCGCGAAGATGCAACGCCTGTATCTCGAGACAGGAAGCAAAGAGATGAGTTCTTGGGAGAGCCCTCGATTCTGGCTTCCGACTGCCTCACCTAGTTCGAGCAATTCCTGGACAGGGAAAATGTTGATTACTAACTGTAACTAACCTATTCACATGAAGCAACTAATTTTCTGTTCAATTAGAAGGCTAACACCTAAAGTGCACAATGTTAGAAGAGATATGCAGAGGCTATGTCCTTTACCTCATAAGTCATATGGTCGGGATCAACGCTGTCTTGCCACACAGCCTGCATATTACATACAAACAGGAGCAGAAGTCATTGTTAAAGAAATCAGTGAGTGAAGGAACGATACTAAGGGTGTCTAAAGGAAGCACTGCACTATTGCTATCAATGCATAATGTCCATGGTTCCTCAAAATTGGTGAGTTTCAACATGTTAAAGAACAATTTTGCTAGATCTAAGTATATGTATAACACTTGCAGCAGAAATAAAGAGTAATCATAGGCAATTCTATCTTATAATAGGAAATAGTGGCATCATGATATCAACACACCTCATGGTAATCATGAGCATTATGATGTCTCCGCACACCTGAAAGGAAAATATTACTTTAAAGTGAGGAGAAGACATTATAGCAATAGCCTGAAACCAAAAGTTTTTGTACAGCACAAAAAGAAGAGCAATCTCAAATAGTATTCAGATGTAAAACAGTGTAGGCAAGTATTGTCTAACAACCCGAGGTTAAACAAATAAGGCATATAACTAACAGAACATCATAGGCCACCAAATCTGAGAATTGCACATCTCAGGAAAGGAACCGCACACTATAACACAACACCCTACAACAAGAACTGCTCTCTTGGCTCCTATATTGTTAATCAGTGCATGGCTTGTCAACTTATCTAGCCATACGGTTAATCAAGTTCACAAAAAAGTGCCAGGGGAACTAATAAGTTCAGAACTTTAGCCTTACAGTCAATAGGGTTTTCATGGGCAGTTGCGTTCTCATGACTATCCCAATCTGCATTTCTACCAACAGTCCGGCCAAGAGGCATTTGTGAAGAACTCAGAAAGGGCCGTACGTATTCATCGATCTCGCGTCCATGATCATGGACTTCATAAGAGTGACTCGGATCACAATACGAAGTACCTCCCGGTTGCGAAGTGCCAAATTTGTAGAAATTTGAACTGTCACCGCTACTGTCCTGCGCAAATTATTACATTGGCAAGACCTTAAAAGGTGAGAACAAAAATGGTGAATGAAATGCTTTATTCTGAGGTGAAATTCTCAAAATCCGGACTACAACAGGATCAGCTAGGTAGGTACCTGAGCATGGCAACCACCATCAAAGATGAAATTCACGTGTTCATATGTGAGACCCTGAAAGTATTCCATGAAGCTTCCAGCTGAATTATAAGGATAACTAGTCTCCATGTAGTGAACATCCATGCTCGGACTCCAACTCATCTCTGTAGAAAAACTATTCTGCTACAAAGAGCCCCCACAAACGTCAGCAAATCAAAAAGACACCAGCTTTAGCACTTCCAAACCATTTAACCGAAAACGCAATGCCTACTAACCAGTTTGAATTTAGCCTGGAAGCTTCAGTCGAGCACAAACATAGTCGAATCAGTCAACTGCTCCAAATGGGTGAGTGGGGAATCTTTTTCAAGAACCCTGGGGAAGACGACAGGACGAATGAAACAGATCAACACAAAAAGTACCACGAAAGGGATAGATGCGGTGGAAATAATTCCAAATCACAATTCAAGCAATGCAGTTCACGAATTACAATTATGCTGGCATCAAACACGCTGTGCGATCTTCCCCTCGGATCAAGATTTAAGGCAATCAAGTGAATCAAGCTACAAATGTTAGACAAAGGAGAGAGAGAAAATGACACCTCGGACTCGGAGGGGAACCAGAAGAAGAAGAAACAAGTCCAGATTAAAGTGGAAGTGCGAAAGGCAAGAACTTGGACGATATTAAGGCATCAGAAATCGAGTACTTGCGTGAACTCGAAGCGTAAAAAAAATTATATTCTTAAGAGGGAAATGTGAGAGAATGGATGAGCGAGACAAAGAGTGAAGAAAAAGATTAAACGATAACGGGGTTTCTGTGATCTCAGTAGTAATATTATAATGCCAATATCAAATGGGAGATGCAAAAGAGAGAGGGAAGTAAAGAAAGAAAGGAACCCGACATTGAGAGCTTTTTATTTTGTGAAGAGAAGAAGAATCAGAGGGTTTCTTTCGCCCCCGCCATCGTCATCTTCCCAAGCTTGTCACTTTTCTCTTTTTTCTCTCTTCCTCTGGTGGTTTCACGAGAATGCCATTTCTTCTTCTCCGTCGAGACACTGTCTATCTGTCTGTCTGTCTCTAACTGTATGGACTTGTTGGCTGAGTTGGGGGGAGGGAGGGTGGATGGTGGCCGCCTTTATGCGGTGGTTTACCAAGGACACTGTCACTCGAGGAAAAATGAAGCCACAAAAAAACGAAAGAGTAATTTTCGCAAACACTTGGCAGGCATTGCAATGAAGCAGCAACTTCCTTTTATCTTTGTGGCACTCGCATTTACCAAGAGAAGAATCCCAGGTATCTGTCTAGTGGAAAGTAAAAAAGATGATCAAATTAAACCCAAAACAACCTATTTAATTATGATAGAGTTGACAATGGAATGAATCAAAAGGGTTAATTGCACTGGTTGCCATTTAAGTTTATCTTTTGTTGCACGGTGACCACTTAAGTCCATTTTGTTGCACATAAACCATTTACGTCGAATAATAGTTGCAATGTCACCATTTCCGTCAATAAAACTAACTTTAGGTATCTAAATTTAATTTTCCCTACCATGTTGGCAGTCCACATCACCATCTGAAGCTGAGTCAGATCTGGCTCACCCTCCTTTTTTGTCCAATTAATGGACCATTTCTCCCATTGAAACCCTTCCTAATTCTCAAATCCAATTTTTGATGCTAAACCCAGAGAAAAGTTCTCCATGCCGAGGCAGAGCATTTTGGGAAACGAATGGCTAGATGCAATCATGCAAATGGCGGACCGGTGGCTCTGTTTATTCCTGTACACGAACTTCGAGGTGTCCCCAGAGTTTTAATCGGCGACACATCTTGATTTATTACTTCCTCTGCTCCCAGAGCTTGGCCGACGCCGCGATGCCGAACACCACCTGCTGCAAATCCGTCGCCTGATTCTTGGGCCTCTCCTCAATCTCCCGCCTCGAGAGAGCGATTCCCATTGCCCGCCGTTGACGAGGGCCACGTCATCGGATGATTCATGCCAATTAGGGCGACGAGGGAGAGGTGCTGGGATGAGCGGCGGCAAGAGACGGTCTCATCGTTGTAGGTTTGGGAAGTGGAGACGAGCTTCAAGGTGTAGAAAACGTATGTGACGGTGACGAAAAGGAGAAGCCATACCATGAACTTGGGGAGGATCCGAGCTGGGGAATCAGTTATGGAGATGGAATTGGTGTGAGAGTGGCTCCTTATCTGATCCTAGATGATCTTCTCCGAATCTTTCTATTGCTCCTGCTTCCCCTCAGCTTGTACGGATTTGGGAATTTCTTTTCAATTTAATCCACCAATGGGGTTCTCACTTTCTTCGATCAGATTAGGATTTGGGGGGTGTGGGGAACAGAGAACGCGATTGGGATTTAGCATCCATCAATCGAAATAATCATTGGGGAAAAAGGGGGAGAAGGGGGAAGGGAATTAAAGCGGGTTCTTGGGGATGGTTTCTCTTCCCCTGTTCATGGTTGAAGTTCTAGGGAGAAACAGAGTGGGAGGAAGATGTTCATATGGAACTGAGTTTTCTGTAGACAAATAATTGAATAGGCTAACTTCTGGCCCATGCTGACTCAGCTTCAGATGGTGATGTGGACTGCCAACATGGTAGGGAAAATTAAATTTAGATACCTAAAGTTAGTTTTATTGACGGAAATGGTGACATTGCAACTATTATTCGACGTAAATGATTTATGTGCAACAAAATACACTTAAGTGGTCACCGTGCAACAAAAGATAAACTTAAATGGCAAACAGTGCAATTAACCCGATGATACTACAACACTTGCTCACATCTTAACTTTTCATTCATTAGTGCAGTCATTCATTCATTTCCGAGGAAATTACTCATGTGGGGAAAAGGATGAAAAGATAGGAAAGAAAAGGAAGGTTCTTTGCCCAAAGTTTGTCCAAAGCAAAATACTGAGGAGGAGGGAGAGAGAGTTAATTGGAATTCCAAAGCAAAAGGAGTTTGATACTTGATAGAGATGGTTGGTGACCTATATAGAAGCCAAAGCCAATGAAGGAATTGCCACATTGGAGAAAGAAAGTGGCACTCCATGTATCAATGTGGCAAGATAACACAGGCAAGCAAGAAATGAACTTGTTAAGGATAGCAAAACAAAAGATAAACTGGGTCCCTCCCCATTGCCTAGCTTCCCTTTCACCAAAATATATTCCTATTTCCTCGTATTTATGGTTGGGGGAGCTGAAGATCACAATCAATGGTGGGGTCAGTCGATATGGGAGGAATTGAGAAATCAAAGTGGTAAACTTTTAATAGGTGTTAGATAGAAATTCAAAATTAGTGCCTAATTGCCCATGCATAATCACTACTACTAAGATGTATTATAGACTGAATTCGAGTTATTGTAATTTTTAATTTTGCTCTGACACTTAACTTATAACAATTAAATTTATAATAAAACTCAGCACTATCTACTTAACTAAAATTAAAACTGAGAGTGAGGTTCATGTGACTTACGGTTGAAAGGAAGGTCACCAAAACCATTCCTACGCTGCAAGAAGGGTAGCTGCTTGAGTTAAGAGGAAAAAAGGAATTTAGAAGAAACACACAGATATGACATGATATGAATTATGAAGACGAAAAAGGCTTTGGAAGTATGCTCAAAATTAGCTGGATATCATGTGATGATTTTCCATTACTTGTTTTCATTTAATTGAATTAAGCTAGAGTAAACCAAACCTCATAACCTTGAGCTCCTTCCAGAAAAGCACATGAATGAAGAAAATTAAAGCCAACCTGCACTTAAAAATGTTGAAGATTAAGAAAGCTTGAACTAAACCAGGGGTTCAAAACTGGAACAAAATACAATTAAAACTTAATCATAAGTAAATTTGGATGATTGAATTTTGATTAAGTTCACAACATTTTTTATCGTCTATCTTGTCAGATCTAATTCAATTATATATCAATTAGTCCAATCCAATTGAATGTAAATCGTGAAACTGACATGATCAATATCAATTAGTCCAAACAAAACAAGATACTTGGAGATAGAAGAATCAAATCATCAAGAAAACATAGCAAATCCCACACTTCAAGACTCCAAATTTTGTATTGTTTTATTTTGGATTTGGTATATACATATATATCCCAGCCCTAAAAGAAATTAGCATGTGCTCGAGAAGAAGAACCCAAGAAGCTTAAATGGCTTGAAGTAACAAAAGCAAATTATTCCAAAAGGCAGGGCATAGAAGCAAAAGAAGGTGGTCATGTGGCAGCTCTGGTCACTGATTAGGTCCACCACTATGAAATTTCCCCCCACGCAAAATCCCCCATCATTTCATCACATTCCATAGTCTCCCAAAACTCTTTCGAGACCTAAATCAGCAAATTTTGGGTCACCAACTTAGATGCTGCTGTTGTTAGGTGAAGTATTCATCAAGGGAATTCAAGATGATAAGCTGTGACTAGGAAATACCCCATTCTGGTAAGCAAATCCAAATGGCTAGTTTTTAGAAAGCTTCTTATCCTAGTTTTCTCACCTAAAACCAGGAAACACTTCCAACTACCCAACAGAAATGACATTCCCTAAGCTTGTAACTTTGCGCATATTGAAGGCAGCCAGATGGGTCTCTGAGCACAAACCCAGATCAAGATTTCTGGTTGGTGAAATTCAGGTTAGCAATGACAAATGGCTATGGGGCCATATGACCCCAAACAAATGAAACGGCCACCAGGCCACTAGAGAGAGAGACCAACAAAAGCTGTCAGGCATGTGGGGAAGACGAGTGATGACAAAACAAAAACAGAAATAGGCATGAGGGAGGAACAAAACAATTGAATATGTGAATGTGAATGAACATAAAAGATGAGAAGAGGGAGAAAAATGAAACATTGCGTGCAAGCAAGGACAGATGATAATTACTGCATATGATATCCACCCCGTCACCCTTTTTTCGTCAATTGTATAGATGGTTACTAAACTCTGGAGTCTACCTTATCAGTCACTGATACTTTAGATGGTTACTAACTCTGGAGTCTACCTTATCAGTCACTGATACTTTAATTTATTACAAGCTTATTATTGAAGTTAAAAAATAACTAACTCAACAATTACTTCATCTATTTATGTTATGTGTTCCATCCAAATTAGAGTACTGATTCACACAAATCAATGATGTGGAGGTTACATGGACTTGGACG